AAGACTGAAAATCTGTAAACCACACAAATCTCTTATGACCTTAGTTTCGGAAGTAATTTGTTAATATGAGCTTCCATTATCACGACTAGCTTCTAAACACAAAACATTAGAAAATGCCTTGAACAGGATGTTTTAAAAAATACCTAATTAAAAAGAATAACTTGAGAGTTGTTCAGACACTTTTGTTTTAAAAAATTGTACCTAAATGTATACAATTTGCATAATCGTCAGCTAGAAATCATTGTCAGTTAATGAGTGCAGTCTGAAAAGTGAGGTTACACTAATGCATTTATCTGCATTGAAAAAAAAAACAAGAACTAGACGAAGTCGCTTTCCCTGATATTATTCACACAGGCACTATTCAGAACCAGACTCTCATACTAATACAACTGAAGTGTCGCGGAGACCCTAGCGGGTTACCGGGGCTCCGGCTCGAAGTGCAGGAGAAGGAACGGGGTAGTTTTTAGTCAGTATGAGTCTGACACTCCCTTTCGCTTCAACCAGGCAGGAGAAGTCATTCGATGATTTTCCCCAGTTAAAAAAAAAACAACAAAAGTAGACTACAAAAATGCACTGACACTTAGAAATGAAAAAAAATGCACTGTTCATGCTCTAAGGATTGTCCGTATGTTAATGATTTTCATGCATCATGTTGTGTAACATGAAAAGAAATAGCTTGTAGTCCTATAAGCTAGGTATTTCTTTTCTCATAGTTTTGTATTTTTATTTCAGTACCTAGGTACGTTCTGTAATTTGTATTATGCATCAAGTTTGTATTTACATTGTTCTTACATATACGTACAATATATCAGATACGTATCAGAGCATTATAAAACAGACTTTTTTTTAAATAGTACGTAGTAACGAATGGAGTTTCTTGCTCATTCTTCTCCACTCGAATCTACATTTTGGAACGAGCGCCTAGCTCCACTGACGAACAAACTGACAGACTATCACTTATTTTACATTAGTTAACGTTTCAAAACTACCAAAGTATGATTTAATTGAAATAAATGCTTTTGAGTTTGAGTTTTTTAAACCAATACACGATTACAGTAGTTTAATAGAGAGGAATAACTATTCTCTCAAATCATTAATGACTTCAATATTAATAACACAAAAACAAAATAATGTCGTATCGTAGTCATTAGGTACATTAAAACAGCCTGGTTACACGATGCTTTTAAGCATAAACACTAATTCGAGTCTAAAATTTTAGCATAAAATAAAACATATTCTATTCACTAGGTCATTACTCCTTCGTGGATGATGTGGGGGAACGCCACGAGGTCTCCTATATAGCCGGGAGAGATACTGGGTTCCACGTGTCTTCAGCTCATCCTGATAATCCCAGCATTATTGGGTCTCCTTTCCATCGGGTCCCTCTTGTCAGGGGAGAGACGAAAGCCAGGGGAAGGACCGCCGTGCAAAGAGGAAGGGATGGATCTTATAGGTAAACTTTTTCTTCCTTTTTGTTGGAGAATTTAACTGTAAGTAGTATAAAATTAGTTTAAAGAAATGAGGAGGTTTACTTACCTGTTACATTTTTCTCAGATTAGGTACATAATAATGTAGAAAGGAATACATACTTATTTTTCGGTATACACCTTCTTCTAGCGACTAATTTCGTGGATTGATCAGTACCTACCTACAGTTATATACCCCAAAAACTAAATCAGTATTATATTTTAGTTGATTTACTAAAAGTGGTAGGTTCAATTTAATTTGCACAGTGACGGTAACTAAACTAAAGCCTGTTGCAGAACGCGTAGCGACATTGATTCGTCCTACGCACTACTTACACTCATGCAGTTTTTTTTATTTATTTGTGACATTTATGAAGACCTAGCTGTGCTCATGACTTCGTCCGCGTGGAATAGTTATTCACAGCTTCTCCTCCGTAGGTGATAGCGTAATAATATGGAGCCTATATGTTGACCCGACCTGTTAGTAAATCCATGCAGTACTGAATTAAAACTTAAGTTCAGCTCGGACATACATACAGACAAACAGACAAAAATACTAAAAAACTTATTTTTGGCTTCTGTATCGATTGTAGATTTTACTAGATTATTTATATTTATTTATTTATTTATTTATTAACACTTCTGTATAACAAACATACGATGGCGGACTTAATGCCGGGTGGCATTCTCTAACAGTCAACCATGGGGTGATGCAGAGATGTGCAACAGTAGGTGTAATAGGTATAATGGTTTATGTGATGCATAACTGTAAATACATACATATATCTGTTTTATAGGTATAATGTAAATTACATAAGATACATTATCAATATTACTAAATAACAATACTATAAAAGTGAATAAATAAATTGGGAATAAAAATACATATAATATATATATATATTTATACATATATATTAAATACAATCGCCAAAATGATAAATTAAGTACGTGATGCGTCTGTCTGTTCCCTCTGCAATAGTTCACGAACCTTAACTAGATTAGACCCAAACATTTTTTTAAAATATTCATTATACAGTTTTAACTGTACTACGATATTATTATATGTTTAGAAGCGCAGGCATCAACAAATGAAATGTGTTAAATGAATTCAGACAGGAAGCGGTCAGGCAAGGCTTAATTCAGAAATATGTATTGTGCGTGTTACTGTTCATATTATTTATTATACCAGGTTCATATCAGCGGGTCCCGACCAGCGGAGGACGGAGAGCAGTGACTCTCAGGGCAATGTCAGAGGATCATACACCTTCTTAGATGACAAGGGTGTGCAGAGGTATGTAACTTAAACAATATATTTCGTTAGCTAGGAGTTTCATATTCATTGTTCTATTGTGGACAGTTTTCTTTAAAATTTATGAAAAAGTTTTAAAGAATTTAGTAAGTAGGTACCTATGTTAACGATTTATAAGTTACCATTTTTAAATGTTTATTATTATTATTATTAAAATTAACATTTAAGAATAACATGTCATGTTATGATTTTCTTAATTAAGATCAGCCAAAATACGTAATTTTACAATTTCTCCATCAAACTCTGTTAAATTGACACTTAGGTAAGTAAGATTAATTTTTTTTTTTTTTTAATGGGACAAGCCCGCCACAACCTCCCAAAACCGCTGCAACTCCTGTAAGCCAGGATCTACAGTAGATACAACCATGAAAACACCGCACACACAAGATTAATTTAGTTTAGTCGTACCCACGCGTTAGTCGTACCACGCTAATACCGATTCTGTTATCATCTTAACAGGACAGTAAACTACATAGCAGGCCCCGGCATTGGCTACCGTATTGTGAAGAACAGCAATGACCCTTACATTCCGCCGTACTTCCCCACCATCCCCAGCCCCTACGACCCTGAGTTTATCAACGCTGGCTCTAAATATGGCGCTGGAAGTCCACCTGCTGCTTCTTCAGATGATGTTTTTAAAGGTACAGTATTCACTGCAGAAATATAATATTATCATCTTAATAACGGAAGTCACGCGAGCAAATTCATAGTCACACAGACCATTCTCCTGTTATGTTACAAATAGCCAAAGGGGTCTTAGTCCTAGTCTTAACCTAGGAGGCAAGCTTCTTGTCTTTTGAGCTTCCGATCTTCCACGTATATCTTAGTCTTAATTACTCCATAATAACAATGATAGCGGTTAATAAAATATTATTTCCAGGTCCCGATGGCACAGCCGCCTCTGGTCACGTAAAACCACCACCATTCCCAGTCAGTGAGTCAGACAGAACTAGTAACACAGCTCCAGCATCAGGACCAGCTCCTCCGGAGCCCAGTTCTGATGACAATAGCGAACCGCAGTACAACCCACCACCAAACTTCAGCCAAAACGCAGGACCTGATGATGGAACTTTCGTAGACGAAGACTCATCACCAACAGGACCATTTGGACCCCCGCAGCCGACCAAAGGACCAGGTGATGAATAGCACCGGCAATGATTGATGTTAGTGATCTTGTTTATAAATTGTAATATAAATAATCCCACTCGAATTCGCCGCCTCCGTCCGCGGCGCTAAGGACCAAAATTTTTCATACTTGGTCCTTTTGCCCGCGCGGCCAGGATGGCGCATGGATCGAGTGGTTGAATCGACTTTTTCGATCAAAACTTTTTACGGAATTTTCAACTAGTAGGTTGTCATGTAATTAGAGAATTCTGTCGAAACTTTTGATTCTTGGTTGCCAATAAACTAATTAGTAAAAGTAGAAGTTTTGTTAAAATATATTATTAAAATAATAATCAAACCAAAATCCAAAAAGTCGATCGTAATCAGGTGACACAAGATCACGAGTTTCAATCAGCTTGCGACGCCTGATGATGCACTCGAATATTATTTATTATATTTGCTTGAACGCAATAAATATTATTCACAACCAATTTGGTTTTTATTACACCAACACCTTACGGCACGCAGCACATACAGCACCGATCGTATACTAAACAAGGAAATTTGAAATTATTAAACAATTGCAGGCAAACCGGGCCGACCGGGCCGCCCGGGCCGACCGACCAGCAAACCTTATAGGCCGACGAAGAAACCGTATGTGCCACTAAAACCTTTCCAGACACCAAATGACATAAGCGACGAACTAGTACACGAGGAACATGATCATAACACACCCGAGTTCGGAGTAGGCTTCAATATAAACCGCCACAAGCCCGGTACTACGATCATTAGGAATTTAGGAAGGGATTACTTCGGTGTTCCTCCCGGGGTCTCGGTCAGGGCTCATGTACAAAGTATTGACTTGTATCCATTCGGCTCTAAGCCCATATCGCCTGCTGAAGCTTTAGAAAACGACCAGACGTAACACTATCGAACATGACACGGTTTCTCTACATAAAAGTATTATTTAAACCTGTAAGGATTGTAATTTAAGTAATAAAGTAATCTATAGACTGTGTATTGTTTCATTTTACACATTAACATACTAACATCACCACAAAAACCACATTAAAATCTAAAAATACTCTAAAAATGAAACGATACTCGAAAGATTTTTTAAAAATTTTATTCGAACAACACGACTGTAATAACAAAATGCAAAATAGTAACTGTTACAAGGAGTCGGGTTCTATGTATGTGTGTGTGCGTGACGTCATTCCATGCCCCACTCCCAGCCACCTCGTACCATAACGATATAAGAATTATGCAAATAGGTGTAACAAAGTTAACAAGAATATGATATAATTGGAAGGGTTAAATTTGGCAATCTCAAGTAGTGAAATATCAACAGAGGGCTCAGGACGAGTTCCATTTACGTTCAATGAGATCGAAATGAGACCGCGTTTGGCGCTTCGATTGGCCGGCTGCATTGAACTAACCAATCAAAACGTCGAACGCGGTCTCGTTTCGAATCTTATTAAACGCCAAAGAAACTTGTACCAAGCCCCCAGGAAAGTTAATCGTGGATAAAATAATTTATACTAAATAGATATATTTATTTTTATATTAAGTACCTAACTACTCGATTGTGAAATTGATCAAACAATGTCTAGATAATATTCATTACGCTTTTTCCTTAATAATTTCAAAAATGTATACAATTAAGTATTATTGGTTACAGCTCGCTAGGATATTTAAACAAATTATATATTAACGTGTAAATATCGTAAGATTTATTTAATAATTAAATAATTTACTATAGTATAAATACGTATAGAGAATAATTTAAACGAACTAGTCTTAAACAAAGGTCAGGACTATGAACTAAAGTGTACGAATTCAAAGACTTCCAACATCTAACCGACTCGCAAACTCCAACCAGTGCTCGTATGAGAACATAATATACATATATATGCACGGTGCCATTTTATTTCTGGACGAATACGATTGCTCTGTGATTTTCTACTAAAACATTTATTTTCTTCACATTAGAAAAGGCGGGCAGTCAAAATGAATCATGCCAACTTTACATTATGTTATATAGACTACCTATTTTATGTATATCTTTCAACCCTAGTAAGGGGAATAAATTAGGGCCTTAATGCTATGTGGATTCTCATACAAGCACTTAGTATAGATATATCCAAGCAAAGTTCGAGTCCATCCATACTCCAAATGCCATCGAAATTTCATAATAACTAACTATTGGCTACAACAGACGATGTCTCTTTAGAAGACCTAGAGAAGACCGTAAGACCATTGTGAAATTACAAACTTAATAGAACATTATCACTTATTTAAACTTAAACAAATAAATATCATATATAACTACAGTAAATAAAAATTAATAAACAGAAGCTTTGCTCCTGAACCTTAACCCTAGGGATGTATATAAAAATCTATTCATATAGATAGAAAAACATTACATAGAAAAAGACTAAAGGCAAATTAGCAAATCACGAGAAGAAGCCATCATTGAGCGAATAATTGTATGTGCGTGCTTACGATTACAAGGGCTATATACAAAGAATTTTAGACCGAATTTACAAGGCCTTAAAGTCACAATACCTTCCGACGCTCCACACAAATAGTACCTTAGAATGGACATGTACAGAATGTCCTTTTATCAAGTCACCTACCTATATATTACTCGTAGCAAGATAGGATTCTACAGATGAAACATTAGACCTTAAAGTGCAAAGCTACAGACTTCAAAAATCTACCTTGACGACATCAATATAAGATTCACAATAGTCCTTCATACATTGGGCCCAAGGCTTTAAAATGTAATCTAGGCGCTATATTTGGTCGAATATTTTCATCCGTAGAACTACACAACGTTATACTTATAGAACTATTGAACTATATCTATCCTTGTCATCTAACTAATGTCAAGAAGAGATAGATAGATATTAAATTACAGTTTTTACATAGCTTACATGTGCTTATATATTTAGTAATCAGATCTGATGATTTTATTTGAATTCTTATTCAGATGACTACCACGTCATAACTTTTTAAGATGGTAAACAAATCCCCGTCAATTTCACCGTACTTTAACGATGATTACGTTCTATCGTTGTTACATATTACGCCACGCTATTTTATTTCCTCGAGTCCGTTCAAATATCCTTCGATGTAATACATTACAAAATCATTTACGTATATTAACGATACTATTTACTCGTCTAATGTACCTATTTAATATATTATGGTACTAAACGTTACCATGGACTGAAAAATGCTTGTTTCACATTAATTTCACAGCCAATATTTAACCTACCGCTTTATTATTTAATATTCCATTTTAGATAAGATTTCAGCAAATTATGAAGCTCAAGCTATTTAAATATTTGTAACGAATGAGCTAGGTTAAATAAGCTATACGTATTATATAGAATTGTTTTCATATAGCTTAACTATAACTAGATTTTGGGGGTTAAACGAAGGGTTTCTAAAAACATATAGATAATAAATAACGCGTACACTTATTACTGACTGGCCGAAATTTGTAATTTAATAAAATTCAAATAAAAAATTTAAAAATTAATCAGTACTAACGTTCTAATTCCAAAACGCAAATATTTCAAGACACTATTAACTTAAAATTAATACCTTAAATAAATAATAATTTTGAAAAGATTTAGGGAAATTAGTATGTACTTTATAGACATGTTAGCTACTAAACACACAGCTTATTGAATAAAATTTAATTAAAAACAAACTGGCAACATTATGCAGTCAAACTAACAAGCCTCTGGTCAACTAACTAAACTAAACTATTTGTGCAATTTTATATTTTTAAAGCTTAAAATTAAGAACAATGTTCAACAAAAATTGTATGAAGACAGTAGTATTATGTACATCAAAACTAATAATGAAAGGTTTAAACTCACCAAAATACAACAATTATAAATGTTACAATTTCTAAAATAAATCCATAGACATTATTTTTTATCTGTATTTCCGCCTTTTTGTCTTATTCTAAACGTCAAAATACTGAAAACAAAATTATTATACAATTTTTATTTTTCTTTGTGCTTTTTTGTTAATTTAATTTTCAAACTAAGAAATTCGAACTACATACAGTGAATATTAGTTAAAAGACTAGATTTCATAAAACTATGTTAAAAAATAAAACATCCCCTGAATTTTTTGAATATCTAATACATTGGCACCCGTTATGTTGTGTTAGTGTATTGCACAATTTCAAACCTAAACCATCAATTCATTTTTAGTAACTTAAATAATAAATACGAATAAAATTAGGAAACAATTTTCTGAGCGAAATTTTAAAATTATACTAGTCATAATTTAAAAAAGAATAATTTGCTAACATTGAAAAATCCTACGAAGAACCATTTTTTTATTTGGTTTTATAAATTTTACTAAGTCAAATAGGTACTTAAGGCAAGAAGAATATTTTCACTTTGGTTTTTAAGGGACATTGCAATGTGGTCCTTTTGTACGGACACATTTTGTAGGTTTATGAAAACAATTTCTGTACCTATTACTTTACAACCAACTTTATAATACAAACAAATTGATGCAAACTGCTTCAGTGTAGATGTCAACACGTTGACGACATAATTTATTACGTCAAAAAATTTAAAAAAATATTTGTCAAACCCTCGTATTAAAATATCTTACAAATAAAAAAATCGCTCCATCACTTTAAAAAAAGAACGCTGTCAAATGGAACGCCAAATTCAAATAAATAATTTTACACATTCAACGGGCTACATCTCACACGAGTAAGCAATTCGAAATTATTTATCAACAAGCTTATTTTTTTATTTATCCCTAATGAACCGAAGGACCGCGCCTTACCGCTTAGGACCAAGGCGCGTGACGTTGAGCCAATATTACGTGATTTTCATCTTCTTGCTAGTTTCCTCCAACATGTCTTTTATTTTCGAGAGAGGGGAACGTTTGTCATCAGCTCCACCTCCTTTACCTCCTAGGTTACTCGGCAGATGAATGTGAAGAGGGTCACGGAGACGATTGAGGTCTTTTTCTACTTTTGCTATCTGTAATCATTAAAATATTGTGTTAATAGCTTAATAAAAAAAATCTTATTAAGTCCCTTTTAATCCATCTTGTTTTACGTGGGCGAATTGGACATAATCTCCAAAAGAATCTCAGAACAAAGGGACTTATTGTCTGTAAGATTAAAGACTAATTAGCTAAAGTCGAATCACCTCATCCTTAAGAGTGTTGTAATGATTAATGTCGAGTCCAATCTTTTTCGCCTTTTTGTGCAGAGTCAACAGGTGCTGTCTATCTTTAACATCGGGTAACACGTATTCCTGAAATCAAATTATGGCATGTTAAATAAAATTGGAGGACACATCTTGCGGAACGAATTTCAATCATAAATTGATCAATAACGTCAGTTTCGTCTGTATTGTAGTAGTGTCAGCCGTTCGACATACAAAATTTTGATAATAATGACCAATACATGACAACAAAGTAAGTTTACCAAAAAGACCAAATAAATTCTTAATTTCAAACCTCACCTGTTTAGTCAAAACGAAGTAGGCATACGCTGCCATGGCCGTTCCATAGGTGACGAAGTACGTGACAGGTTCCATGATGTCCCAAGAGTACTCCCACCAGGTCAGACGAGCCAGCACACCAAACTGCACGCCCATTAGTCCTAGACCCACCCACGTGAGGGCTGACGTACGACGTGTAGTCTCCACTTCCAGGCTCATACGTTTCTGGAAATTATTGAGGGAATTGATAAGACTGGTGAAATAGGCAGTCATAATTTTGTTAAGACCATATCAAAAAAAAGTTACAATAAAGTGCTGAGAATATCAAGAGTAATATACTATAGAAGAAACGTAGCATACCTTCTAAAGAAACTTATTGAGAAAAGTGTAGGTACACAACGAGTTTTGAAAATGTACAACATATTTTTAATTTGAATTGATATTTTCTGAGACACGAATGTGTCATAATCTTAAGGATGGGAAACATCGTGAAGACCATTTACGAGAGCATCTTGTGAGACAAACTGTTTAGCATCGATCAAACCATTTATTAAAGGAGACATTAAAAAATCGCACATCACTTGTCATGTGTGATTTTATAATTACACAGATCAAGTTAGACAACAAGAACATTTATAACGGAAAAGAAATAAAGAAGGAAGAAGCTCACAGATTCAAGAGAACCGTTCATGAAGCTCTGACTAACCAAAGACCTTACCTCCTCCAGTGGCTGCAGCTCAGTGGACAGTTTCTCCAGCTGTGCCTTCAGCTCCCGCTCCTTACGTATCTGGTGCTCTCGAACATTCAGCGCTTCATACAGCTGATTCACCAAGTTCCGCACGTCGCTTAACCGCGTAACCTCTTCTTGACTTAGGCGCTCCTGGTGACAAAGAAAAAGATTTATGTGAAAATAGTAAATACACTATTACCTAGCCTGTAGTGAATAATTATAAAACATTGGTATATTGTAATATAATATACATGTCTGTTTTCTCATTTCATGTTTAAAATTTTATGTGAAAAAATAACACTATTTCAATTGATAAAATAATAGAACTAACATTAAAAAAGTAAAATATGTTAGTGTTATTTACTTTATGTTTTATACTAAAACATACAAGCCTACACTACGAATGCAAAATATTTCAAACGACCCAAAACTGCAACGAAAATCATTTTCGCGTGTCATGTACAATTTTGGGAATCTAATTCGGCTTTTCCTAATATTCGTGCTAGAAACCCGAGCTCGGCTTGTCTGAGTCACGTCTGAATTTCTTCAGTTAAATAATTCTGGAAGAAACTATGTACATTTGGTAGTATCAAGTTGCAATTGTGAACTTAGGTATGAGCTCAACTTCTTTTATATAATTTTTCCTTTGACAACTTGATTTACAAAATATTTTCGTGTGATCGCTAACAAATTCTGGATTACACACTACAGAGTGCTGACAAATACCTTAAAAGAATATACAGCGTAGTTAATAAATAAGTGGATTTTCTTTTCCTCCTTTTAATATAAATAGAGAAAACTGCATAGAAAAGTTACTTTCCGTATATCAACCTGAGACTTACGATAGGTACTAATTAAACGTAATAAAAACAAGTAAATAATTGCATCCGACGTTTACGAGCTTCCTAAGGAAAATACATTACAAATTGTTCGAGATTCCTGTGTCGTTGTTTGTACTAGGTAAAGGAGAGTATCAGCAAATAAATTATAAGTTAATTTATTGGGTTTTAAAGTAAGAAACAAAAATACATCGAAAGATTCTTTTTTAAACGTTGCCCCATACTTAGATTTTCTTCTGTGTCATGGGTGCATTTACAAACATACAAGTTCATATACACATGATACCCATACCCGGAACAACAACTTGTGGAGCACAAAGAGTTGCTCCGTGCAGGAAACGAACCAGCGACACGTTGCGTGGCAATCGTTTGCCCAGCCACCGCACCAACCGTGCCGTCAAGTACAAGATACAAGTTATAAGTTATAAGAAGAAATAGTTTAACGGAATGTTAGAGTACGGAACTAAGGACCGATGTTACCTATAAATACATTTATTTAATTTATTAAATAAATACGTTGGAATTTAGATGTACGTCAATGTCTACTGTAGGTGTATAGGAATAGATAAATGTGTGTTTTCGATTAACACACATACTTAAACTGTCAAACACCAAGCGGTCACCGGTGACCGCAACCTATTGTTCTATAATTGTGTGTATAATGACGGTACTCGACGAGTTAATTAATTAAACACAAATGCGAACATAAGGACCACTTTTGGAACTGTTGTGACTGCGGAAATCGTTTTGGATGGAATTGAACACATTGGATGCCGTGTCGGACAATGATGTCCGACGCTAGCGGCGGATTAGCCTTTAATAGTTTTTGTTGGCAGTTAAAGCCTTAAACTTTTAGGATTAAAAGAACTATAGAATACTTAAACTCAAAACCCTTAAGTCCTTAAAGAAATTTACGGGTCGATTTTTCAATGCTCAGAAAAATTTTAACTGTCTATCAACATTTGACAATTCTTCCATACTAAAAACTGTCAATTGTCAATTTCATTCTACAGTTAAGAAATAACTGATGATTGAAAAATCGACCCTTGATCGTTTAAGTATCTGTTATCTACATACATTAAATTCAATTACTGGGAAATATAAAGTGAACTAGCACTTCGTGTTTTTATTTCTCATTTTTTGTGACATGGAAAAGAGGATTAACGCCAATTTGATATGGATTCAATTCAACATAACTGGGCGTGTTATCGCTGTGTGTGATCCACAGATTGCATTGAAACGTCGACAAATAAAACAAAAAGGTTTGACTCCAATCAAATCCGAATACATAGCTGGCATGTTATTGGCACTTTTTGATATAAAACCAAGTATAAAGTATACAATTTTTGAACAAAATTGAACTACGCTACTGACATATTTTTTTAATGTTTTTTTAGGAATTACCTTGTTGGCCGATTAGTCGCAAATGCGACTGCCGGGCCCGGGTCTCAGTTTCGATTCCCGCGTCGGGAAAAATATTATTGATTTAAAAAAAAACTCAATAGTAGCATGGAGTCTGGAATTGTGTCCGGTATATGGCAATAGACTCACCCCCTATTACATGGGACTCGAATCATAAATAGTAAAAAGTGGGTGTTACATTGTACAGAGGCATCAAGTGCCGTAATGTGCACCTCAGCCTATCCCTTCGGGGATGGAGGGCGTGATGTTACGCGTTACAAACTTAGGTAACGTACTTCGCAACGTGCTCCTTAATTTTAACGAATGGGCACTTGCCTATCTTTAAAACATGTGATATTCATGACATCTGAAGGAAAAGAGATGTCCCATTAAATAATCACGCTCCATAAAAGTTTATGGGTTTCGAGAAAACCTGGATCTTCATGGTTTATAGATGTCGGACGCCCCATCAATCCCTTTGAGGCGATAAAATTTAAATATTTATGTGCTTGTTCGAACATACCTATAAGTTTTGTTATGTATGTATGTACTATCAATAGGAACGTTTTTTTTTAATAACAATCCTAAAAACTTCGTAATTAAAAACATTACAATGCTTTACTGGTCTTTAAAGGTAAACGTGCAGGGGTAGACTCAAATGAAATCTAAATACATTTCACCAGTTGCTTATTAATATGTAAAGTCATAAGGACTTATAATAAGGTAAGTTTATAATTGTATACATCAAGTTCTTTTACAAATATGTTTTTTTTTGTGGCATTAGTCGATAAACGAGCAGACGGATCACCTGATGGTAAGCAATTGACATCGCCCACATGGACACCTGGAACACCAGAGGCGTTAAGAGTGCGTTACCGACTTTTTTGGAATTAGGAGTTTGAGGATCGTTGGGGATTCAGGGATTGGGGAGATTGGGGAAGGGGAGGGTAATTGGGCCACCGGTGACCTCACTCACACGACGAAACACAATGCAAGCGTTGCTTCACATCGGTTTTCTGTGAGGCCGTGGTATCACTCCGGTCGAGCCGACCCATTCGTGCCGAAGCATGGTTCTCCCACACTCTCTGTATTTGTAAGTTACTCTTATCTATACAAATAAAGAGCGTAGCACCTCTTAATGGCAAAATCCCCAATAGCAATATGCATAACTAAACCAAAATGAGTCTTAAACCCATTTCCTTTTAAAACCCTGCACCATTTTGGTGGAAAGATAATCAGGTGACATCGCATTCTCTCTCGGAATCACTGCGTCTTCCGTGTTATTTGTTTTGTAAGCCCAGAAATCGCCTTGAATTTTGAGGGCTTATGATTTCCTTTCCTTGACTTAAATTGAATTTTAAGTAAAGCTGTTACAAGTCCATCTTTGTGCACCATTTGATCCAGGCATTTTGAATCTTTCTATACACTCAAAATTTTGCGTGTTGACACTGGTTCAATAAGAACAATCAATGTTTCTTTAAAGGCATAAAAGTAGGTGGCATAGGTTAAATTTCACATGCAAAATAACGTGTAATATTTAAAAAATGCTACTTAATACATACATATGCGAATTTATCATAAAATTCATCACCAAATGTTTGCCGAACTCATATCAACAGTCATATCAAAATAACACGTAACGTACATACATACATACCTAGATATAAACGGGGAAAAATCTCGCCGTACAATTTACAAACAGCGGTATTGTTTCATTTTATGAAATACCGTCGCGTCGACGTGTAAACACAATGCCAAGGATTGTTTACATGTCACCGTTATTAAATCTAGAGTGTTTCTGATTATACGAACGCGACGCCGTTTGAAGTTTATGAACAGCTTTAAAATTGAGGTCCAAAACGTGTTGTTCGGGATTTTGATGAGTATTTTGTTAATTTCCACACGTCAGTGAAAGGGGTCTTTTCATAAATTATATCACGCGTCTGTTCCCTGAGGGAAGGAACAGGGTTGAAGCTGTTGGTTTGAGAGTTTTGTTATAATAACGATATTATGAGAGGCACGCTTTTTTACAACTATGTTCAGGAGATTTCAAACAACAACGACGACGTATTTATTAATTTAAACTCGAACTTCAAATAAAAGCTATTTCTTTCAAGATGTCTAGCCATGACATCAATTGAATTGGAGAAGGAACGGGGTGGATTTTAGTCAGTAAGAGTCTAACACTCCCTCTTGGTTCACCTGGGCGGGAGAAGTCATTAGATAATTTTCCCCCTCAAAAGAAAGACATCTATTGCTAGTAAATCATTTTATATTGCAACAAAATGCAGTAGATAATGAAAATTTAAATGCTAATAAACCATGCAACCAATTTCTTCTTAAACACCTTTACAAATTTAAATAATACTTATCACTTTTGAAACATAACCCGTCAATGATATTGAAAACCAACCCTCTTGTCGCTTCTCTCAACTCAGTAAAACTCAATGCATATTCTATGGCTGTTTAAAATGTCCATAATGATCGCAGTCTCTCTGAATTCAACCCTTCTTGTGGGAAATGTTAAGAGGCTATCAAATGCCACCATTGTAGAACGATCAAGTATTCATGGTGCTTCCTAAATGAGGGTTTGCCAGGTTTAAGAATACTCATTATCTTTTTTAGTATGCTGATTTCTAAAACAGTAGTTTCGATGTGTTTTAGACAGATACTTATTAAGATTAGAATGTATGGACACATGGCATGCATCCATTCATGCACACACCTTAACATCAAGTTACAGGCTCTGTCGCTCGCTAGACAGAGCGCATGAATATGCTTGAATATATTCTGACAACTCGTCGAGTACCGGTTTTGTAGACACAATTATAGAACAATAGGTTGCGGTCACCGGTGACCGCTTGGTGTTTGACAGTTTAATACTGATATTATAATTTGAAATAAAATCAA